ATCATACCTTTAGAGGATATCTAAGGACAAAGTAGTTAAGATGACATAAAGACTAATATTTCAAGAATATTGGACTGTTAATTTCTGTAGTGTAGTTCTTTAAAGTTATTTAATAACTTTATAAATTTTTTCAAGACTTATGTTTTAATATTGCATTCTAAAAGGACTGGAAATTTTTAAAAGCTTAACATTACTAGGCTCTGAAAGCCTGCTCAAACTCACTTGAAACACTTTGGCTTTTTTTTCCCTAAAAACAAAATTAAATCAAAAGATATCTTACCTCTAAGTGAAAGCCGTGCCAGAATTTCATTGAAAGGAAATTTGTAATTTTAGCAGTCTTTTTCAGTTTTACAGTCTCTATGTTACCAATATTACATTGGCTAAATAGAACAATTAGTAAGACAGTATGGTCATATAAAGATAGCAAGGAATTTGAAGTCAAAGAGATCTCACTACAAGCTCCAGCTCCACCACTTACTGGCTAAGTGGTTTTGGGAGAGAAACCCTTTCTGAGCCTAGATGTCCACACCCATAAATTGAGAAATTCTCTATTAGGATGGTTTTGAGAACTAATATATGTAAAGCAGTTAGCACAGAGCTTAAATATTCAATGTGATACCCTTTTTTTTTTTTCAAAATAACATAGCTTTATAGATTTCTAATTATAAAAAGAAGGTTTTTCACCTGGACTCTCATTATTCAAAGGTAACCACCGATTACATTTGGTCGATAGCCTTCTGCATCTCTCTCTGCAGGTACATACTCACATAGATATGAACACACAACTTTACAGAAGTAGATTTATAATATACAGGCATAAATTTAGACTTTTTTTTCTGTTCAACATTGTGTCATGGCTATCTGATATCCGCAGGAGTATCCATACCCACTAACCCTCTCAGAAATTTGACATCCTGCACCTCCCATCAAACAGTTTGTTTTTATATTGTTCATCTCCAGTACCTCCTAAAGTTATACCTTGTCATGAATTTAAAGTTCCAAGAAAATTAAAATTATGTTTTGAGAATATTTTAAAACTTTTTACAGGACCTGCTCTTGGGTTAGGCTAGGCTCTCAGATAATGCTCAGAAGAAATTTGATATTCAGAGCAGTAGCAGTAGAATAGCATAATTTCTGGTTCTCATACTCAGAGAAACACAATATTCCCAGTGGTAACAACCAAGACGTGAGCCTGTTTGTTCTCTTAAAATTAATTGCAGCAGTAGTGAGAATCCGAGATTTCATCTCATCTTCAGATGTCTTGATTTTTAAGTGAGGAAGCTGAGGCCCAGAGAGGAGGTAAAGTACATTAGCCAGGATGGAGAGTAAATATGTATACAATGTGAATGTATTTGAGGAATAAATGTATTTCAGATTTCAGTGGCTACTTTTTAAGGAACAAATAAATTTATAAAAATTCCTCAATTTGGAGATTCAAAAAAATTTCCTTCCTCAGTCATCCATTTTGAATGGATTTTGTCATGGGAATTTAAATGTGAAGAAGGAGACCTTTTATGGTACAAGTGGGAGAGAGATCTCGATCCTAATGTCACCTTTGAGAACCTATGTTAAAATGCGTGGCACTCAGTAAATTAGTTCCCTTTCTCTTCTGTTCCTTCTTCCCCACACAAAATACTCTCCTTCATCAGTTAGAAACTGATTCTAATTAGGTGTGTCATCTCTGAAGGCACCATCCTAGTATCTGGAGACCTGGCCCTCACTTCAGAATCAGGGCCTCAGGTTATCTTTGTGTAACCAGCCTTTACCCAGGACACTCTGTGTACTATCAGGCACGTGCTGGATGCCAGGAAGGCATCGCTGAGACCCTCAAATTGCCGGAAGACGAGCAGGAGACGTTCACGCAGCAGTCACGGTATAAGGTGGTATCTGCCTGACAAACAAGTGACTGAATCAACATAATGGAGTTTGTCAAAAGTGAAGGAGCCCCTGAGTCTGTCTGGAAAAGTCGGGGAAGATTGCACAGAGAACGCAGCACTTGAACTGAGATTTGAAGGAGGACTAGAAATTTGTCTGTAGACACAAAAGACAGGGCAATTATCCTAACCAGAGACTTGTGTTTAGGCTGACATTCATTTTCCAGGAAAAGGCCCATCTGCTTCTGAAATTTTTTTACTAAAACTTGTATGATTTCTAAGATCCAATGTTTCCAAAGATCTGAAGAATCTCATTTAGTTGCCCTGACTTCCCTGTGTCATCCAGACTGACACAGACAAATGAAAAACTACCTATCCTGGACTTAAGTGTCTATAGGAAGGTCCTTGTATAGCATTTCTCTCCAGTTTGTAATTTATTTGCATTATTTTTGTGCTACTATTATTCTGAGAATTGCTGTATTATTATATATGCCTCTTTAAAAATAAGTTAAATAAGTGAACTTTTCCACAGCTGGGCTACAGTGCTGTTTGGTATTTAATTTGTAAATTTTCATATTCTGTTTCAAGAAGATAACAGTGTTCTTTAAATTATTGTGTTTAATAGCTTATATGTTACTATTCTTTTATGTGTTTAACTACTTTTTTAAGAGGGAAAGGAAAAATGTTAAAAGAGTGAACCGAAGATTAAATTAGCCAACATTTTAAAAAGAAGCAGTTCCTAGCAGTTCCTTTGCTGGAATCAACCACTGCTAATACCACCACCTTAAAAGCTAATGATCTTCACCAGATTTCTGATTTGTATGATCTTCGGTAGTGGAGGCGACGTTAGAACCTTTCTCTGTGTTTAACACCCGGGCTGCGTTTGCCTTGTGTGAAATTCTTGTTCGTCTAGACCTGTGTTATAGGAAGCTTCCGCATGTCTTTCAATTGCTTGATTTCAGAATTCATGAAAAAGATAAATTAATTTGAATTTTAGTTATGTGTCATTCCCTACCCAGAGGATCCCAAATCACATTTCCCACTCAGTGGCGTTTGTTGTCTGTCCTGATCATTGGGCACTCCTGTCTGAGTAATGGTAAACCCATAGTGAATGAGAAAAAAGCCCTGTCTTTACTTCCCCAGTACTTAAGCACAGATAATGTTCAGTAAGAAAGTACAGATCCTGTGTGGGCAAATTGGGCTATGGCCTGTCTGCAGCCAGCACACATTTTAGACCTATCTACCTGTTCCTGAAATGTTGCTTGATAATAAAAATTGTTTCTCCATCAGTTGCCTCCTTTCTCATATACTCTACTCCTTACAAGTTCATACTCTTTTGAGATCTTTCACTATATTTTCAGTCTTATTTTTTATTCATTCTTTGGGCTATCAAGAGCCTGGGAATTATTTGGATTTTAAAATTAACAATAATGAGAAAATTTTTTGTTTCAAGTAGTTTTCAGTTGGGTCTTTAACATTAGTGATTACCATTTATTGGATACTTAATATATGTAGATACTATAAGAGAATGTTTAAAATATGACCTCATTTTATCCTGATAATCCCAATGAGATAAGTGGTATTTTCACTAATTTTCAGATGTAACTAAGACTCAGATTAACTAACTGCCCAAGATCATAAAGTTAGTAAATGGCATAGAGGATTAAAACTAGGTCTGTCTGGCCTAACAGCCTGTACGTGGGCTCTGTCTTCGTACGTCAGGTTCCTCTGGCTAATGTAGATTGCGTTTGCATCTATGTCCAGGGTTTAACATTTTAAACCCTACCTTCTAAGGACAGATATAAATTTAAATGCCTAGATCCTTTTGCAAATCAGAATATAACAATCAAGTTGGTTCCCAGATTTCTAATAGCCCAAAGAAGGGAATCAGAATATAAAATGTAAAGTTGGTTAGATTTGGGTTTTGATTCTTTTGCTCTATTTCAGTTCATTTATCATTATATAATCTAGCTTTAGCTGAAATGTCTGCAGAGAGTAAAAGTTTTTCCACTTTTCCTATAATCCCCCCAACAAAAATATTAAGTTTTTAGTTCAATTTATCAAATTATACTTACTCTACCAATTTTGAGCTATGTGATCTTGCAAAAGTCATTTTTTTAAGATCTTCCCACCCTAAAATTTTGCTTCTTTTTGTGTTAAAATCCTCTTTGGATGATTCATATTTAAGAAATTGTTTTCTCTCCTAATTATTTTAATAAAGATTGTTTTTCATGTGTTCTTAAGAGTTCAGAGAAAGGTTAAAGTAGTTTGTGGTTAAGAGCTCTGATTCTGCAATCAGACTTGTGTAATAAAAGTTGTAACATTTAATATCTAGTAGACACTGGAAATTTTACATAACCTCTCTGAGCCTCCATTTCCTTTTCTATAAAATGGCTGTGTGACTCATAAAATTGCTATAAAGTTAATGTGAAGCACTTTCTACAATACTTGCATAATAGGGGTTAACTATGACTGTTATTTAAGTTTGTTCTTTGTAAAATATAACGACAGCATTTTAGGACTAGAAGAAACCATTAGTGATCATTTGATCTCGCACGCCTGTCTTTCCTATGTCAATAAAGCCCAGAGGAAGGTTAAAAGCTAGTTTGAGGTTTGGTGGTAAGTTGGTGATGGACCTGAAACTAAATTAAACCCAGCATCTTTGCGGGTGGAGAGTTTGTGTTGCTGTTATTGTATTGTTTCATTGTGTTCTTTTCACTTCTATCCAATGATTCTTTCTTTAATCTCATTGAAACTATTGAGTTGTTTCCATTTTTATCTATGCAGCTGTTTTAGTGTTATAGTAGGTTGGCATGAATACTTTTTTCTTCTTTGCTTAGCTTAGCTGGCTTTCTTCACTTCCAAAATGGATCAGTCCACAGTGTTAGAGATGCAGCTTTAATATTCAGCAATGTAAGGCAAAAACCTGTGGTCATTCATGGTTTCATACTGTCCTCTTAGTCTTCTGCTAATGTTCTGTGACATGAGACATTGCTTCCCACCGTATTGGAATATGCCTCCTGTTTTGAGTGCTGTTAAATGAAGGCCCTCTGGTCCAGCTGCAAGATGGTAGTAATTTCAATAAGGATAACAATACTTTTCTCTCCATTCTCTCTTGTGTTGTAGAGCCGACAGTTAGAATCAGAAACGGGGACCACAGAGGAGCACAGTCTAAACAAGGAGGCTCGGAAATGGGCCACACGTGTGGCACGTGAGCACAAAACCATCGTTCACCAACAACGGGTAAGTGGAAGAGAGAGTCTTAGGCTATAGAGGAGAATCTGCTCCCAACCTCATTCAGGTTGTTGGGTCTACACTGAGCTTGAGCCACATGTCAAACCAATTTAAGGAGCTGGATTTTATTCATATGGAAAATATCCTATGTATGTTTTCTCTGTAATTTCTCATGACTCAACAGTATACTCTCGGCTATCTACTTAGCTTGGAAATTCCTTCAGCCCTCTAGCAGCACGCAGTGTCGGTACTGTTGTTATCAGAATCCAGTTTCTTATAAGTCTAGAACTGAGGTCGCTGTTTCCTTCCTGGCTGTCAGATGGGGGCTACCCTTAGCTCCTGAAGGCCACTCACTCTGGTTTTTGCGGAGGGACATCTTAGAGCCAGCAATGGTGCGTGGAATCCTTCTCATGCTTGGCATCTCTCTGACTTCACTGTTGGCTCATTTCTCATCTCTCTCCAGCTGGAGAAAGTTCTCTGCTTTAAGGGGTCATGTGATTAGATTGGGCCCACTCAGATAATCCAAGATACTCTCCCTATCTTAAGGTCCATAACACTAATGTATCTGCAAATTATATCTTATTTATACACACTTCCAGGGATCAGTGTGTGGACATCTTGGGAGGCCATTCTGCCTACCATAATAATAAAATAAGACAACAGTACCTATCATCACCACTGCTTTTCACTGTTGTAAGAGGATTCAGTCAATGTGTTAATGAAAGAAAAATAAGGTGTTTAAATATTAGGAAAAGATACATCTATCATAATATTTGGATGATGTGATTGTTTACCTTCAAAAACATGAGACCCAACTGTCAAACTATTAATAGTAATGAGAGTTCAGTAAGGTGAATAGATACAAGACTATATACAAAAATCATGTTTTCCTATTAACTAGAAATAATAAATTGTAAAATGCAATTGGGGAAAAATTATTCACCACAGCCATAAAATACTGATGAATCAACCAATGTAATGTAATGACCTATAAGAAGACTTTTTTTTTTTTTACCAAAGAATATAAAAGAAGACATGAGTCATTGGAGAGATGCAAAAACTGTGGATATTTATTAAATGTATGTAATTTTAATGCAATCCCAATGAAACTTAAAATATATTTCTAAGAGAACTTGACAATCTGGTTCTAAAATGTGTCGATTTTTTTTTTAGTGTATAAGAATAGCCAAGAATAACAATAATGAGACTATGTGCCTTAGCATGTACTGCAACATACAATAGTGACCATAGGAATCAAAACTGTGGTATCCTACAAGAGTGAACTAATATATCAAAGAAAATGATCTGTGTGTATGTGAACCTTTAGATACTGCTTCAAACCGACCAACCATAAACACTCATTCTGAGACACGCAGGGAAGTTTAATGATGAACAGCATATTAAGGCCTCCGAGGAATTGTTGTTAGGTCCAATAATGGTATTGTGGTTGTATTTTCTTCTTAAAGTTTCTATTTTTAGAGGCTTTTTCTGAAGCATGTACAAGTGAAATGACATGATGTCTGGAATTTGTTTTAAAATGCTTTAGCAAAGAAGAAAAAAGAATAGGTAAAACAAATGTGGAAAAATCTTAACTGTTGAATCTTGGTGATCAGTATATGGGAGTTCATCATACTAGTCTCCTTACTTTTGAGCATGTTTTAAATTTTTCATAATATAATGCATACTAATGGCATTTCAAATCTTTGGGGAAAGGATTTATTCAGTAAATGATATTAGAGCAATTGTCTGTGAAATAGACATATGGGAAAAAGTATAAAGTTAGATTCCTCCCTTCCACCATATACAAAATAAATTTCAGAGAAATTAAAGAGTTAAGAGCTAAACATAAGATTATTAAAAGCTAGAAAAATATGGGGGCCAGCCCCGTGGCCGAGTGGTTGGGTTTGTGCACTCCACTTCGGCCGCGCAGGGTTTGTTGGTTCGGATCCTGGGTACAGACCTGCACACCGCTTGTCAAGCCGTGCTGAAGAGGAAGATTGGCAACAGATGTTAGCTCAGGGCCAATCTTCTTCACCAAAAAACGTTAAAAAAAAAAAAACTAGAAAAATGTAAAATATTTTTGATATATTACAGATGGCTTCTTAAGTAAGACACAATATCCGGGAGCCATAAAGGAAAAGATTACTACATGTGACCACATAAAAACTAAAAATTTCTGTAAAACAAAAGAACTTTAAAAAGTTAAGAGAAAAGGAATAGAATGAGAAGAAATATTTGTAACATAAATAACAGAAAAAGGACTAATATCTGAAAATAAATATATTTAAATAATTTTTAAAAAGACAAAAAAATTAGAAAAATGGACAGAGGATACAAACTGCCCATTTTAAAAGTAGAAGTACAGAGGGCCAGCAACATATGAAATGATGCTCTCTTACAGAGAAATGAAAATTGAAACAGTGAGATAATCTTTATTTGTATATCATATTGGCAAACATTTCAAAGACTGACAGTATCCAATATTCACGAGATACAGAGAAATGTACTCTCACATGCTATTAGTAGAATAGGCGTAAAACCTTTTAGGGCGATTTGGCAATGTCTATTGAAATTAAACTGTACAATTTCCACTTCTATGTTTTTGTCTTAAATAAGTATTCCCATATGTGTTCAAAGAGTCATTGACTAGGTTGTTTGTACAGTGCTATTTATAATATCAAGAAATTTGAATATTCAAATAGCAATAGGGTAAGAGTAAATAAAACATAGTATAAACTATTGAATTTATGGATTAATTAGAGAATAAAGTCAATCTTTTTGTACAAACATAAAAAGATTTCTTAGACATATGGTGGAGATGATAGATCTCATTTTGTTATTTTTTTACATAGAACTATGCAAGTATGTAGGAAATACATAAGAAATGGTTTGAAAACTACACATACACTGATGGGACAGGGGTTACCTTTGGGTGGGGGACGTGTGGTGGCATGTGCAGATATAACAGAGACTTTCTGCCCTTTTGTATTAGTTGTTTTGCAGCAATATTTTATAGTCATGTAATTCTTAAAAATTAAAATGTACATATCACAAACGTACAATCCAAGTAAAGTTTGTAAACTGTGCCAATGTCAATTTCCTGGTTTTTGTGTTGTCCTATGGTTATGTAAGTTGTTGCCACTGGAGGAAGCTGAGAGAAGGGACTCTCTCTGTACTACTTTTGCAACTTCCTTTGAGTCCATAATTATTTCACAGGTTTTTTAAATAAATAAATGAAAAAATTAAAGGTTATAAACGGAACGTGGCCACTTGTCACTGAAGTCTTTTAAAGTATCTAAATACTCTAGTCACGTAAGAAAAAGTCATCATTTTCCTGTTTTCTTTACTAGGTTCTAGATGATCTGGAATGTCATGGAGTTGCAGCATCAGAACAAAGCCGAGCAGAAGTGGAACAGAAAATAGATGAAGCTAGAGAAAATATTCGTAAAGCAGAGGTGAGGGGTAGCTAATTGTGACATTTTGCCCAGCTCCAACAACATCACTGCTGTGATATATACCTTTATAATTCAGTTTCTATACGCTGATTAATTTGAAGATGATTTACCACCTTCATCTGTGTCCACGATGTTATTTTTGAATATCTGCTTCATATAGGTAGTACACATAACAAAAACACATGAGCCCACTATGAAGAGTTTACAGTCATGAAATAATAAGTAACAAAAGAATTGTCACAATGAAGATATTAATTTTAAAGTTTTCACAAGGTACATAATAAATCAGTCAAATTAATGGTATAGAAATTGGTATTTATTCAGTCCAGAGCCTAGAAAAGTCTCCCCCATGTAGAAGGTTCTCTGGATCCAGGGCATAAACTGATCTTTGAAGAAGAAAGAAGACTTGGTTAAGCAGACAAGGCAAAAAAAGTTACAACAGTGGATTTTAGTGTTTTGAGGGGTCAGGGGACCCTTTGAGGGTTGTATGAACATGTGAAATGCTCTCTCCCACAAAAAAAAACATACATTTTGTGTACAATGTCCAGAAGTTCATGTCTCCTAGGCTAATATTCCCTGACCTAGAGGGGGAAAATTGAGATGGAAAGAAAGAAGTTACTTGCAAAGGAAGAAGACATAGGATATAGTTTGGCAGTTGGATTTGATTAGTGTAGAGGATTTGTGTAAGGAAATGTGGTAGAAAGTAAGTAAAATAATGGTGGTTAGGACCAGTTCATGGAGATGTGTACATGCTTTGTGGATAGCATCTACCCAATGCAGATGGTGAAGGGGTGTGGAAGTAGACATTTAAGAAGACTGAGAGTAGCCAGCCCTCCAGGAGAATATGTTCTTGTTAGGAAGGCATGAAGAATGGCAAGAATAACTAAGACTGAAGTGTAAGTACCAAGGAGTGGTCCACGCAAGTATACTTAATACTTAAGAAACCCAGAGGACACCGAGATCACTGTGGGAGGAATTGTTGAGACAGGTAACACAGAAGAGGTAGGACTTAAGATGGGTATTGACAGGTAAGTAACATTTGATTAGTCAGAGAAAAAGGATAGCACAGATTTTTGCCATGCAACCTCAAGAGGCTGAACTTGAACCAAAAGAAGAAGGTAGGGAGGCAGATTTGAGCTCGGTATTGGGAAATGCTTTCTAACAGTCAGTTCTGCCCGATGTCAGAGTAAGCTCCCTTGGGACATAGTATAGCACTATAAGTGCACAGGAAGATTCTGGGAAAACATCTGTCAGGGACTTTATATAAGGAATTCTTGCATTGGTTGAGAGTGAATCTAAACTAGTGATTTTCAAATACCCCCTCAGGCCTCGAAAGGTTTTGAGGAAGTATTTCAGTGGTTGGTTGGAGTGGCATGGGGGAGTGAGGGGAGAGGCAGCATAGGCAAACATAGGGAATATTAGCATGTTTCTGGCACAACCCCATGGAAGTGATCTGAACCAGAAAAGTCTGGCTGTCTGCCTGGTCTAGAGAAGTCCCAGTAACCCCAGCTCACCTTTGTTCCTGGCACATGACTCACAGCCTCCATAGTGAAGACAGCAGGGTGTACAATAAATAGCCTTTTTCTCTCTGAATTCAGGGTCATGGCTAAACCACTACGCTAGTGTGCTGGCCAAGCACTGTTGGCAGGCCCTTGCCTAGTTTCAGAAACATTGGCTTCTGTAGAAGAATTTTTCCTGTTGTTTGTTTCTCTAAACTCTGGGTAAAGCCAGTTTCAGAGCCCTGGTGGAACAGGACAAGTCTCAGAAGTTTTGTGAAGGGTGTGTTCTCTCTTGTATTTTCCATTTCCAGACTCCATCTGTGGTGTCACCGTCTGGTACCCTAGAGCCACCAAACCCCCAGCAGTAGCAGTAGTAGGTATCAGTCATACAAAGTATGCATTTAGGCTGAATGACTTGTTATTTCCATGAATGTACTAACCTTCCCTGTGTTTGTTAGCTTCAAGCTAAAAATATGAAGTGAGATTCCCACAACAGAATGTCTCATCTCTCCTAATACCAGTATTTAAGTCTGCATTCTCAAAGATAATTTTCTTACCAAAAATACAAAATATGCTAAAAACCATGATGCCAGATCCATTATCTCAATTTTGAGAATCTGTGAAATGTAGTCAGTCCTACTGCTGTCTTAAAATATCTCACTTGATTTCCACTTACCAGATACAAAGAATAACCCAGCTAAAATTAAAAGGCACATATAAGGGTAGTATTGGGGTGGTACTTACAGGATTGTCATAACGAAATTCTTGGATAGACTAAACCACAAGAACCTTCAGAGGAATTGATAATAATGGTTTCATAGATTCCCTTTTTCTTTCTTCTGCTAGTGTACTTGGATTTTCTCTTTCCCTTCAAAAGTCATTTACTTTATTATAAATACCTGTACAAAAGGGAGAAAGCTAGTTAAAATTCCATTATATCCTCCCTGTTTGGTTTTTAACTCCTGGCATGAATGTTACCCTCACTTGTTGGTTAATCTTCTTTATCCAGTCTTTTCTATATTGTGTTTCCTTTCAGTGATGCTAATTAGAATGAAAACCTTTGTGGCACTCGGTAATATAAATGGCCTGTGCTTTTCCAAGTGGTAGAGATTATATAGTGATTAATTAATTATTGTCTGGTTAATTTGGGAGCAAATTCACTAATTGATTGGTTTAACAGATACTTAATAAGCACCTGCTGTGTGCCAGATACTGATGAATACACTAGACATATAGTGATGAACAAACTATTGTTATATGATCTCTGTGACTGTGACAAGAATATTTGTACCAGATATGCTACTGTCTGCAGCCCCTGACTAGTTCAAGAATTGAAATGAGGCAATAGCTGCTTAAATTAAACTCTAATAACAATCTTCTTAGTCTGGTATTTGGGTATTTGAATTTTTTGAAATGCCTTTTGTCATACAGACACACACACATTCTTCATCTGACATGTGATACCTATTTTAAAGAAACCAAGAGTTTTAAAAGCCTTCTTCTTTGAAGCTTTACATGACTTATGTTGTTCCAGGACACAATTATTTTTCATATGTTTAAATTGCACTTTTTATTTGGGTTGAGGGCAGTCCTCTCTTTTTTTTTGGCAGTGAAATATTTAACACAAAGAAGAGAAAGTTAATGTAAGAAGTCAAAGATACCTAGAAATTTTTAATAACTCAGGTTTGCTCTAAGGCCTGCAGGAGGAACTATGGACTATGTGATTCCTTCTCCAAGATGCTATGATCTGAATTGAATGTACATTTGAAAGCCAAAGTACATGATATCAAGTGGATTAATAAAACCAAAAAAAGTCAATGATTGTCTATATAAATACATTTTCCTAGATACATTTTCTCTTAAATTATCATCTCATAAAGTTCTGTTGTACACTAGGAATTCAAAATTACTACGTTATCCTTATATCTCAATGACTCAAAAATGGTAATACCCTTGCCATAATTCTAAAAGAGAAGTCTAAAACTTTCAGTTCCTTAAAATGTGAGGTCTTATTACTGCAAGGTTAATGAAATGCTAGAGTGAGCCTGCTATAAAAACAAAATTTCCAGTATATTATATCCAAATTTACATTACCTCAGGGCCTGTTATTGTGAGGTTTCCCTGTACTCTTATAATATATTGGCAGACCTCTTGACTAACTTCTTTCTTCAATTCCTCTTGTGAAAATTTTCAAACATACAGAAAAGACGAAGAGTAAATATGTATTTCCCAACATGCTAAATTCAACTCAGTATTTTGTAATACTGGATTTTGTGTTTATTTCTATTCTGTAAAGTGGAAGTTAACTCTAAGGCCTGAATGGAGTTAGTATTTTAGGCAAGAATACTTTATAGATGATGCTGTGTTTTTCATCACAGTATATTTTTATCAAGTTATCTCACTATTAAGGATGCTAAGAGTAGTCACTTAATTAAGTTCGTGCTGCCAGATCTTTCCACTGTTAAGGTTCTTTTTCTTTTTTTTTCCCATTGCAATTAGCAAGTACTAGTTACCTCCAATGGTGGAAAATGGGTATTTTTCTCTCTTTCTTAAGTATCATTATGATGTGATAGAACTTTAAAAATCAGATCTATTGAGGTATAATGTACATACAATAAAATGTAACCATTTCAAATAAACAATTTGATGAGCTTTGACAAATGCATACTCCTAAATATCCACTACCACAATCAAGATACAAAATATTTCTATCCTCCCAAAAAGTTCTCTTGTGACCAGGCAACAACTGATCTGCTTTCTGTTATGTAGCTTAGTTCAACTCCAACAACGTGAATATTAGGTCACTTGATACTGTCCTACACATCACGTACAAAAATCCTCCCACATGTTTTTTTATCCAGCCTTATTTTTTATCTTAATCTCAGTTTGATGAGTTAATATTACTATGTATTCAAGTTCACTGATATTTTCTTCTGTAGTGTATAATCTACTCTTAAGCCCATCCTGTGAATTTTTGTTTCAGTTATTATATTTTCAGCTCTGTAAGTTCTGTTTGATTCTTTATATCTTCCAGTTCACTCTCATTTATCTTGACGCTTTCCTTTAAATCCTTAAGTATATTTAGAATAGTGACTGTAAAGTCCTTGTCTACTCATTGCATCATATCTGTGACTTCTGGCTCTCTCTCCTGACTAATTTTTCCTATGGTCGTGACTTACATTTTTCTGCTATTTAAATACCTAGTAATTTTTTGCTGAATACTAGAAATTGTGAACATTTGGTTATAGAGTGTCTGGATTCTCCTTTCTTCTTTTAAAGACTGTTGAGTTTTGTTTTGGCAGCCAGGTCAATGAAAGATCAGTTTGATCTTTCTGAGGCTCGTTTTTCAGCTTTATTTGGGGTGGTTTGGATTAGCCTTTCCAGTAGGGCTGATTTAGCCCCATTACTGTTGCATTTCCTCTCTGCACTTTCTTCTTGTGCCGTGGTATCCAGCAGGCTTTCTCAGCTCCGCCTGGGTGGAACGGCAGCACCTTTCAGTCA